TTATTTAATGACCACCTATTATGGCCAAAACACTAAACTAAATTTTGAAAGAGCCAAAAGTGTAATAAGAATTGCTGCCCTCCACATCTGCTCAAGCACTTCAGTTACATATGGTGGGACCAGCCACGGTAGAAGGTGGATTTTGATGATGAAGGCCAGATGGGTTTCTATATAAAATATTCTGTGTTCACAGTTTAGTAAAAGTAGAGACTGAGTAGGGACTTTCATTCCCTCCAACTCTACTAGGTGAAAACACTTGATTTATCTTCAATTTTCCCAGATCACAGCTGGTGCTGCTGCCTTGGTCTACCTTTCCTACAGGCAGTAAAATTCCAAGTGTCATCTGGAATTTGAGAGCCACGCTCCATTAACACTAATGAGTGACTTATGGTGAAATCTTTGTGGATCAGGCTGAACATCTCCCTGTAGGTATGAGTTCACATTTCATGTCGGTGGGCATCCCACCAGCCTGCACTAAAATTGCTTGCATCATTTAACCTATAAGGGTGTCCAACAAACCTATGATTTATGGTTTGGAAAGTATTCAGCTCAGTCCAGGCTGTTATTGAAAATTTCCTGGTTTCTAGGTTACAGTTTCACGTTCAGGTCAAATATAATTATAAATTTCCAGGCCTTCATTGTTTCCTGTAGGACTCAGGTCAAGAAACTTTATAGGTGGAATAATATGACTTTAAAATGACTGTCCTAACAATAATGGAATCAGACAAATTTACTTCTGAAAGCTAGAGGTTTAAGTTAAACATCCATGACAATTGAGTCGCCAGACTGTATGTTTTGTCATTGTAATGATTTGAAAAATAACCTTTAGATTCACAGGCATGTGGGTGAGCAATTTAAAATACTTTCATGAAAAACCCAAGAGACCAAAAAAAAATCGTATTTCTATTTCCTACATAACTCTGACTAGTGTTTATATTAATCGTATCTACCTTGATTGCAAATTTAATGTCAGGAAACGTCGAGGTGTGTAATTCAGGGTTAATAAGGAGGTGTTCTTTTGTGATTTAGTCATGAGCCACAGCTTGAGGCCTCACCCTCCCACCACTAATGAGTCCCCTCCAGATTTTCCTCTAAAGCTACAAGATTCTGAACCTTTGAACTGCTCCGGGGAAAGTCTCTGTGCCTGTGTGTTTGTCCTTTTGTTTGGGGAACTGGTCCTCGCCGGTATTTCCTAACAAATCGAGTCCCTGTTGCAGTCTGGCTGTTAGTTTGGGAGCCATTAATAATTGGCAATTTGTAGCTGTCATAATGATGCTGGGGACTTTCCAGATGGATTTTCTCTTTCTCTGGAGAAGGACTAAGACTTATACTTATTCTCTTTGAAGGGATTTTAATCAAGCAGATGTCGCTCATGGCCCTTGACCCACAGTAGGGACAGGACGGGGTTGGCTCATCTCTGGTCTAGGGACAGCCCTATGTCTTGTTTTCCAGAGGACAGGCTCACATGCTTATCTAAGCTTAGGCTTTCTGACAAAGGGACAAGGCCTCAGGCGGGTAGGAGTTGGCTGTATCGGGGTGGAGGTGGTGGACATATTAGGGTGTTGTGAGTGTAAATTTGAAAAGAAATGTTAAAAAGAGAAAGAAATGCCCATTTTAATTTTTCAAATAACTAAACCAGTTGTGAAGGGAACAGAAAGTAAGAAGATGAGAGTTTAATGTTCCCTTTGGTCCTGGTTCTGTACTCCTCGCAGGCGAGGCACTTCACACAAGTTTAAATTAGGAAGAAAATGGTAATTTCTGCTGCTAAGTTTTATAGCAAATAATTTTCTCACCTCCAACTTTGTTCCCCTTCTTGTTCCACCATATCTCCCACCCAACCCTAAGAAAAAGGGGAAAAAATTGGAATTTTCTGTAAAATTTTGTGGTTAGTGTTACTTGAGCAGCATTATGCTTCAGAGGGGAGACAGTGGCAGTTGGAAAATATCTTTCCTGTGGAACTGATGAATGTTCCAACGTGAAGCTTCTTTCTGCCTCACGGTCCTGGTGTTTGGGCTGCCCGTTGACTAAACTCTTGTTTTCAGTGGCTTCGTTGAATCTCTGCTTAAACATGACCTCCTCACATACGTTCCCTGACCTGCTCCATCTGAACTAGATTCTCCCCTCCCTGCCCCGTGATATCCTGAGTCTCCTTACCCTGCTTTCTTCTTCTTAGCCCTCATCACTCCCTGGGTAACTGCTTATTGTCTGCCTCTCCCACCAGAGTAAGCTCCGTGAGAGCAGGGACTGTGTCCTCACTGCCATGCCCTCAGGGTCTAGTACCTGGTAGAGAGTCAAAAAATATTTATTGGAATAAGGTATTCATTTCTCACCTTAGACTCTGCTTGTTGAACCTGAGCCTCCATAAACATCCAGCACTACTGTGCTTATTGCATTATCATAGATGCTACATTCCAAGATGTGCAGTTTTTCACATTTCTGAAATCGGTACATTTAGAAATATACATTTAATGTGGTAGGGGTTACCACTTGTCAGAGCTGCTACTAAATTGATGTACCTCTTACAGTTAAATGTACCTTAGAATCAAGGACATTGTGGCGGACAGAATGGCCCCCCCAAAGATGTCCATGTCCTAATCCCTGAAACCTGTGAATGTGTTACCTTGAATGGCAAGAGGGACTTCGCAGATGTGATTCAGTTAGGGATTTTAAGACAACGAGGTCATCCTGGATCATTCATATTGGCCCAAGGTAATCATAAGGGTCTTTATAAGAGGAAGGCAGGAAGGTCAGAGTCAGAGAAGATTTGCTGACAGAAGCAGAAGCTGGAATAATGCGGGGCTACAAGCCAAGGAATGCAGGCCTCTAGAAGCTGGAAAAGGTCAGGAAATGGATTTTCCCCTGGATCCTCCTGAAGGAACATAGTCCTGCCAACCATTTTAGACTTCTATAAGACTTACAGAACTATAGATAATAAGTTTGTATTGTTTTAAGCACTAAATTTGTGGTGATTTGTTACAACAGCCACAGGAAACTAATACAAACACGCTATTACAGGCAATAACATATATTACATTCTGGAAATTCTTAATGTCCAGTTTCATAATCTTCTTGAGCATTGCTAAGGTATGTCATTGATTCTGTCTTTCTGGTAACAAAATGTCATTGCTATTTCAGGATCTAGACAGGGTATAGTTGTGGAATCTTTTGAAGTCATTTTGCAGATGCTCTCAGTGCCCCTTGACCTATGCCAGAGGTCAGCTGCAGATAGTTCCTATATTAGAGTGACCAGTCATCTCAGTTTGCCCAGGACTTAGGGGGTTCCCAGGATGCAGGACTTTTAGTGCTAAAACCAGGGAATTCCTGGGCAAGCCAGGATGGGTTGTTCATTCCACCCATACATGGGGCATCTACCTGCATATGATGAGGACATTCTCTGGCCATAGGCTCCTCCTCATTTTACGTACATTGATGGAGTTAACACTGCAAAGCATCTCTCAAACAATGCAGGGTGAGAGTTGGTGGATGCGTGCCCAGCTTCCCTGCCTCAATGGCAAAGTTCTGAGGCATGTTTCATGCAATCTCCCAGGGGGTCGCCTCCAGCCTTGAGCCCTAATTGCCCACAGCGCTCAGTAGTGACCCTCTTATTGGCTTGCCTTGCTACCTTGTCTTCAACCTTCACCAAGCTTCCTGCATTACTTCCCAGATAAACATTTTGCACCCAATCCTTGCCTCAGGGTCTGCTTTTGGATGAGCCCAAACTGGGACATCACCCTAGGATCAAGAGTCTTAAGTCCAAAATCCTTCACGTGGCCGCAAACGTCTGGACCCTGTCTTCCCCTCTAGCTTCATCCTTGAAACCCTCTCTCTTGCTCATCAACATCCAGCCACACCAACTGTTATTCAGAATCTGATCTATCCTAAATTCCTTCCTCGCATAGGTCATTTGCACTCGTTTCTCCTGCCTGAATGCTCCTAAGTAGTATTCATCCTTCAGGTCCCCAATCAAATGTCACTTCCACATGAAGGTATCCTTGGCCCTCCAGACTATGCATGTTTTCCCTGACCCTCCTGTGCTTTTCTTCATGGCACTTACTACAAATGAAATGACAATTATTTTATTGGAGGTTGATTTTCTGTTTATGCGTGGGTCTTGCAAAGGATTCAAACACACCAGTATTGTGTGATGTAGGTGTAAGACAAGCGTTATGGGAAAATAACGGGCAGAAGGGTCAGTGTGGTGCACATGTCCCCGACCTCGGGCCAGCTGACTGAGATGCATGCTGGGTGAGGCACAGCTGGAGAAACCGTGGGAAGTGCTCCAAGAGAAGGACCCTGCTGTGTGCTACTTTACATACTTATAGGGGAACTAGGAGGAGACACAGGACATCTAGTCAACACGTGGTTGTGCAAGCTCCGTGGACAGCTAGATGGCCTTATTAGACCAGAGCGTAGCTAGAAGTCTCATCCCAATTTTTCAGTAGAAAGCCCCGTTAAAAAAAGTTCAGTCCACACTTCCAACATATGTATATTTATTTATAAGTTTATACATCTAACACTATCAAGCTAAATGTCAAATAGTAGAGAAGCTGAATTTCTTTTTTGAGATAATCATAAATGAGAATAAAAATAGAATAAACAAAAATAGAAATAAAATTAAAAAAAGAAGTTGTAAAATTTCTTTGCACATCCTAATAGATCATTTTGTGTGTGCCCTGAGGTGCACATACCAGGTGGGGCGATTATTGCTCTAGAGCAGTGCTCTCCCAAGCAGATCCCCTGAGGAGCTGGTTAATTAACATGCAGACCCTGATTCAGTAGGTCTGGATGCGGCCTGGGATTCTGCATTTCTAACCATTGCCCAGGTGGTGCCAATGGTGATGGTTTGTGAAGCACATTTTGAGTAGCCAGGCTCTAAAGCATGTTGCTGTACAAATATTCATAAGCCACTGAGATTTAGATGCTCAGGTCTAACAGACTGATACAGCATCTTCTCTTATTTTGGAATGATTTTCTTCTGTCTCATGCTTTGCTGTTTCCAGGCGGAATCAGTGGAATGTGTGTGACCTTCACCATCTTGTTGAATGATTGCCCATCGGAAAATACAAAAAGTGAAGGACAACTGAGCAAGGTAAAAGTTTGTTGACTCTTCATTTCTCCTGGCCTTTAAAATCTAATTATCTGTTCTTATTCCTCTGATGAGATGGCAAAAACACATTGAACCCCATGAACAGGCTCTGTGCTGGGTGCTTTTCATGTGCCATTTCATTTTATATCTGATTCTAATGGCAGAAACCGGTCTGAATACAAAGAGACTCGCAGTGTGTGCATGTGGGCATGTGTGTTTGTGGATGCATGCATGTGTGTATGTGCGTGCACGTGTGTGTGTGTGAGACAGAGAGAAAGGGAGACTCAGCTTTGTCTCCTGACCTTCTGCCTGACCTGCTGTGCGGGTTGGGACAAACCATTCCAGCTCCCTGTGCTCAGGGATGCGGTGAGGATTTCCCAGTTAGTGACAGAATCGGAGTGATTTGTAGACGTTTGTGTGCTGATTGTCTTGCCCTCTAGGCATGAGCCGTGTTGCATCAGGAGGGCAAGAGGGTTCCAAATAGATTTAATATTCCTTGTATGAGCTTCAACCATCTGCCCGCCAGCTCTCAGTGTGAGCATAATATATGTTTCCAGAATCAAACACAAAGAGCCTGGCTTTTTTTTCTCTTTCTTTTTCCATTTTTCAAAGCCTTTTAGTTTGGATCATTTGTGTTTTTCTTGTATTTTGGGGTAGGTTACTAGGGTCATCCTCTCTACAATTATATTTGCTTTCATTTTGTTTCCTGGTGCCTCTGGCATATTTAAATAAATGGTTTCCCCCTCCTGATCTCCATGTCCCCTGTACAGAACTGCATCCTTGAAATTAATAAATATCCACGAAATCTTGTGATGCACAAGATGGCTGGGATTAAACTGCAGGCATTCCCAATAGGTGCAGATTATACCCTGGACATTGGACAATTCTTCCCTTGCTAAATTTGAACACTGTTTTCCTGAGTGGTGACACTTCAACTTTTTTTCCTCCTTCAAGGGAAATCTTGTGGCTGTTGATGGGCCTGTCCTAGCAGCTAAAGCTCATGGTAGGACTAGAGTTGTTTGGGTGTTGGGTGTCTGACCTAGAAACCTTGTGTCATTTAAGGTAATTAACATATGGGGATCTTAAGCCCTGAAAGAGATGAAAATAAGTTAAGCCAATCAAATGGAGTTCTTATAAAATCTCACTTAAGTTAAAGAAATTTGGCAGATTTGGAAAGCTCTTTGATTTACATGAAAGTTGGGTGGGGATACCATTGATATTCTCCTAGCATTACTCACTAAGCATTAGGAGGGGCAACTAATGGAAAATGAACTTGGAATATTTTCTTGTGCAGGCTTGAGGGCATAGAGGTCAAAATTCTTCAGTTCTGCTCCTTTTTATTTAGTCAGCAAACTTTGTGTTGTTCTGCATTAGACAGTGTATATTTAAGAACTGCTTCTTCTTTCAACTCATTTCAGATCCAGTTCTCCTGACGGGGGAGGCTGAAAGAGCCCCATCCCTTGCTGCTCTTCTAGTCAATGATGAGGGGATGTCAGATTAGGATGTGGGCTCTGGGGGACCACCTGGGTGCCTGGCTAGGCTCCATCTCTTTCTGCCTATGTGACCTTGGGAGCATCATAAACATCTCCATGCTGTTTTCCTCAGTTGTAGAGGAGGGCCTATGACAGTGTTAGTCGAAGGGTATTTGATGAAACAAAGGTATATTTGATGAAACAATCAAATATAATAATGCATAATAATGTATGTAAAGTTCATAGCACAGTGCCTCCCACATAGTACCGTGTTAGCTATTGTTACTGTCATTACTAGAGAAATGAAGGATGGAGAAAAATGGGAGTGTGGATTCCATATCATGACTTGTACTGTTTTGGCTGTGGAAGATGTTGTCTGAAACATACCTCTGCATGTGGAGAATTAAGAGGTCAGGGCTGACAGGGGAAGGACCAAAGAAAATAGAAATAGTGTTTTTAGTAAGAGCTTTGGTTTAAATACGTGGCTGCTAGAACTCACGGAGGTGTGTGGTTGGATGGAAACCATCCCTTCCTTTCAGGCTGATGCACGATTAGCCTTGCCCTCTCCTCCCCCACAACCCCCGCGTGTTTAGATTTGGTCTGACCTTGGGTCCTTTTTGAACTGTATTGGTTGTGAGACTGATAGAGCCTCAGGGGTGGCATTGTCCAGAACTCTAATCTCACCGAGTATCTAGTGCAGAGCAGATCTGGGCCTCTGTAGGTAGTTAGAACTGAACCTGCCTTTAGGGGGAGGGTGTGCTTCTGGCCAGAGCCAAGAGCCTATCCATTCACTTGTCCCAGCTGTCTTTCATGTGGACTTTCATAGACGTAGGCCACACCAATTAAGATGGGGGGCCAGTCAAAGGAGGTGCACAAAGCAATGAAATGCAAACAAAAATGGTATTTGCCTCAAGACCCTTATGAGAGATCTTCTGGATCTTTGGCTTTCGGGCTCCCTGTTTCCCATGGAGGATCCAGGCTGGCTCACATGTTCAGCTCTTTCCTTGCTGCAGCTCTGCTGTTTAGTTCTGGCTGCTCTCTCTGCTCCATTGTTTGTGGCCTCTGTGGCCACCACTGCTCACTGGGTGGTGCCATGATCCTGGCCCTGATGTTCCTTTGCCTGGTGTTAGCTACGATCCTATTTGCTGTTGCCCATTGGTGCACTTGGCCCTAAGGGCTCCATATTGATGCTCCATTTCTTTCCCAAGTGAACTTTGGCTCTCTGCCTTTGAGCCGTGATTCCTAAGGGTATGGTGTAGACTTGATGCCGCCGTGGGTTTTATTCTTGTCATGTGGCATCAGTCCCCTCATTGTCATCATCGGTGTTGACCTAGGCACTACCACCAACACCCTGGCGAATCAGGCCTTTTCCCACCAGCATAATGACTCTTCTATTAAGACCCCAACTGGGGGAGATGTATCTTATTCTCTTAGTCTCTTGTTGCACCTATAATATTGTGACTTTTCTATTTATTGATCCAGTTCCCCAGGCTGCTCCTCTCCTGTGACTCATAATACAAGTTCCCTCCAGGACTGGCTGGAAGATGATTGATATCACATTGAATAACTTAATCCCTAAACAGCCTGTCTTCCTTTTGTGCTGACCATCAGTCAATTATATTGGTCCAACCTTGAATCTTTCCCATCTTACAATGTGTCTCCTTCCCATCCCGGACAGCCAGGGCTGGGAGGGTCTGGTGTATCTCTTTGGTCATCACCTTCAAGATATCCTGCAAAGATTCTTCCAGGGAGCCCCATTATAGCTTTTCAAATAAGTAAATCTTGGCTGCTCACTGTGCCTGGAAATCCCAAATTCCTGCACCAGGGGAATAAGCTTGGCTGTGGGAGTGGCACTTCAAGGACATGATGCTGGACTCTTCTCCCTCCCTCTATAACTCTTTCTCTCTCTCCCTTCTTCCTTCTTCCTTTTGTTTTGCACCTAGCTCATAGAATAGTGCTGTTTTTTCAGGCAAAACCTCAGCCCTGGCATGATTTAGAGGAGATATGGAGTTTCACACAATGGGCGCTGAGGCACTGACTCAATGGAAAGAGTGTGGGCTATCTGGATACTTGGAACCTGGCTCCTGCTCTACCAATATACTAGCTGTGCAAACTTGGGCAAGAACCTTAACCTCTCTGAGCCTCTGATTCTGTAAAGTGGGGTTGCGGGAGGAGGGTAGTGGTAGATTGAACTAAATTCTTAAAAACACTCTCTTTTTTTTTTTTTTGAGGAAGATTAGCCCTGAGCTAACTACTGCCAGTCCTCTTCTTTTTTGCTGAGGAAGCCTGGCCCTGAGCTAACATCGTGCCCATCTTCCTCTATTTTATACGTGGGACACCTACCACAGCATGGTGTGCCAAGCGGCACCATGTCCACACCTGGGATCCGAACTGGCGAACCCCGGGCCGCCGAGATGTGGAACGTGCAAACTTAACCGCTGCGCCACTGGGCCAGCCCCAAAACACTCTCTTTTTGATGGAAATTGGCTTCTAGCAACTAGCGATGGAAAAGGCCTGGTACCTGTATATTAGGCTCTCCTGCAAATCTTCTGGGTAAGGCAGAATGGGAGCCCAGACAGAAGCTACATGCTCGCTTGTTCCAAGAAAGAAGTGAGGGAAATATTGTTTAAATCAATAGCATTACGTGAACACAGAAGATGGAACTATTTTCCCCCAAATTGTTTTGATTGCTGCCAGTTGCTGCTATTTGGTATGAAATCCATTCAGATGGTAAAAAGCCAAAGGAACATACAGTGCATGAAAAGATGTTGTAATTGGCACCATTGTAACTCTATACGGTGTGTGATCTTAGCTGGGAGGAGGGAGGGTTGTCGGATAACTTGTAATCTAATTTTCTTTGTTGTAAAATAGAATGTTACCATTGTATTCCTGTGGAATAATAATTATAACATCTCAGACAAATAGAGAGCCTTTCTCGGGAGGTGCTTAAAGAGCTCAATAGACATTCATTCAGCCTGGTAAACATAGTAAAACCTGGCTTGCTTGCCTTTCTCTCAACTGAAAATTCCTTTTACCCAGCATCTCCCCTCTCTGTCCTACCGGGATAAATGATTTTTATGCTGGTGAACCTGACACCCCGAGAGACACTGAAGTGCCTTCTGAATCATCAAAGAATTATGAAACCTTCAGTAGAGTTTCAGTGTTAATTGCAATTTATGACAGCCTAATTTTTTGAAAAGTGGTAATTCATGTGTTGCAGAGACGATAATTAGTTGGAATAGTTGATTAGTCAGACTGCTCTATTTTCTGACCACATTGAAGTACAGTATTTACAGTACCTGCAACACCGGCTCTCCCAGAGAGCCACGGAGGAGGTGGGGAAGTGAAAGTAGCAGTCTTTATAGCTTGGCAGGAGTAAATTACTACTCATTCTGGGCAAATGATCATTTCCAGAGCTTTATTCTTCAACTTCTACATTAGCTTCTAAACGAAATGAGAAGAGAAAATAAGTGTTTTAAAAATAGATTATATTTGCTTCTTATGACTTGGCCATCCCCAGGGTCATGGCTCTTGTTGATAATGAGACTGTTAGCTCTTACGGTAAACGTGAGTGGCTTTAAAATCAAATTTCGGATGATATTCAGTAGGGCTTCTTCACAAA